TATATATACTTACATATATACCATATTCGAACTATGCATTGAATTTATTTATTTATAGTTTTTCAGTATCAGCAGATACAATTAATGTTAAAAATATATTATAGAAATATTAAAAAAATTATTTTAATAATAAAAGCCTCATTTTTTCCGATATTGAATAACATAATAAAAATAAAAAATGGATCAAAAGTTAAATAAACGAGCAAAAGGATACTGCAATACATAAGACGGAATGTACAGAAAATATGTATAATTTTATTAAATAATGCAACAGAACAATATAGATAAATTAATTACATAATAAGCACAGTGTATACTAAGTAATAAATATGTATAAGTAATAAGTTGCGTCGCACGAATTAAATTAATACTGAATGCTTTCACTTTGGTTTCGAAACTTTCCAAGTCGAGTGAAAAAAAAAATTAATTACGAGGATCGATTACGTTAATTACTATATTTAAATAATTTCATTAAATTTTTTTTATTAGTTACAATTCTATGTAATTACTAACTAGTATTAAGAAGAATAAAACGAGGTAGAAATATCACCGATGCACAATTGTTTAGGCGTTAAAGCTCAATAATAAAATTTATTACGTTTTAATAATGCGTCTATATAAGATTTATAACAAATCCCTCATTATTTTCATTGGACATTTTCGTTAGCAGGAAGATTAAGCGTATTATTATTTTATCAATTAACATACGTATCACTTAATGATGACGCTCACGTTACAATGCGATTAACAATGCGATAAGTTAGCGATGCGTGGTAAACTAACTTCTTACATAAAAATATAAAAACAATATCAATTACCGGATTCTCTATAAAAAATTTGCACAATATTTCAACAAGTACGTAGAAATAATTTTATTGTTCTTTTATTGTTAATTTAATTTCATTTTCATCAAAATGAGATTCAGTTTCTTGTCAGTTCAGTTCACTTCAATTTGTACAATTTATTTAGTTGTCTTAAAATTACTTTCGAATTTCGCTCGATCAATCGATTCCGTTTCCTGATCGTACTAAATCTAGCTCTTAACAATACAATGGAAATAGTAATTCTTGCATGACTAAAATGATTCGCTTAATCGTGTCGAAGCGATACTCTATAAATATAAATTTAAAAAACTATTCTTTTTTGCGATATATCTTGGCACAAAAGATTTTTTTTCTATAAAAGTTCCCATAAAGTTTCATAAAATTAATAAGAATTGATTTAAATCTTTTTAAGAGATCAATCAATTAAAAAAAAAAAATATATATATATATATATATATATACTTAATCAACATAAAAATAATTTTAAAGTTACATAATTTCGTTTTCTCAGTTTTATTTGATAGATTGTGACAAATCTTTTGTGCCAATCTAACGTTGTTCGCTCGATAATAATACCGACAACATAAAAGTTCTGAACAACTGCGTGGTAAGTAAAGTAAAAAAGTATATCCCGTATGTCTTTTCAGTTTTTTGGTACCTTTATATTCTTACGTCTTTGTTTACGTTCTTTCAATTTCTTCATTCTTTCACTATATAAGTAACGTCCTTTTATCTGATTATTGCGATCACGCAGTATCAGTCTTATAAATAGAATAGTCTGTAGAAAACGTGCATAAAAACTGTGCGAATTTGCGTTCGCGAAGCATTCCGGAAGTAAAGAAGCTTAATTTGCCTTTTCATTCGCTTGTTTTCTTTTCTGATATAACTCGAAATTGCTCGAATGTTTATCTTTCACATTTACGCATCATTGCGTTATGCTCTAGATTGATTAATTTGTTCTTGTATTTTACTGCACAATAACTATGGAAAAAATAATGACTCATGAAATAATAAAATATATATAACAAATAACGTAAAATAATATGACATTCCATTGAAAATACTTTTGTGAAATTATGTAACAAGGTACATACCTGTTTAATATTAAAATCTGATATTAAAAGTATTTTTGATTGAGATGTACTGCCGAATAGGCCGAGTTTCTTTTTCTTACTAATATCCTTAATAAAAATCTGTACACCTTTCTCTACGACTTTTGCCGATTCACTAAATTCGTTCCAAGTGTGACTCCAATCAATCTGAAAAAAAAAAAAAATGGTAAAAACATATATGCATTAGTTCTTTTATTTTGAGAAAACTAACGAGCAAAATCAATGTAATAAATACTAACCCTCCAGCCACCGAACAAATCACTACGTTCAAGGTACGATAATCTTTTGTCGGTGAATAAAAGCACGTCTTTATTGATGAATACGTGATAGACATAAACATCTGTATGCGCATATTTCCCCTTTTCTAGTTCCTATGAAAAAGAAGTCTTATATAATAAATTATAAACTTTGTTGTATATAACAAGAATATTCGTACATATAAGATAATAAAATTTAATTCTATATAATTTTTTACAAAGATATTATAATTTTTATAAAAAATATTTCTTTATGGAGTATCTTAATTTTCCTTTATTCATTTATTTATAATTTTTATAATATAATCCTATACAAATTCATAATACGTATTTTGTATAAAAATGTACTATTATAATAGAATGCATCTACGAAGAATAAACCATTTAAAAATTTATTTAACAATTTTGAAGATAAAAGAAAGATGTTACGAACTCTTAGAAAAATAGAACTCTTACTAGCAATATTTTGTTGCCTTCGGCTTCATCTTTTATGTATGGCCTAACGAGACTGTCTGGTTGCAGAAATCTGGGCGATCGTACTCTCTTTGTTTCCTCATTTAATTCAGTAGCTCTGAAATAAATTGAAGATAATCTCCCATATACATTAACAATCAATTTCTGAACAATTCCAAATTTTAGTTAATTGTCTTATTCATTAATTAAGATTGCTTTTGCATAATTAACAATACCGTCTAACTGCTCCAAAGGAACCACTTGCAAAATCAATAACACCAGCAGTAGGCCTAGTGACAAGTCCAACAACACCCTTTCCAAACCCTTTGAAGAATCCTTCCACTCCTTCCTCTTTCGCTCCTGATAAAGGTTTCATTACAACACCAGTCACACCATCGACTACACCCTATCAAATAACATAAATAAATTCATAAATATATTAAATTAAATAATTAACATAATTCATCTGCGATCTTACCATTACTAAACCCTTTCCGCTTCGTGCAAGACCTTCTTGTAAATTGGCGGGCTGTTTATTGAGCTGTTCTTGTCTCTTTCGTTGATAATCTTTGTCAAAGGTTAGAGCAGCTATACCTTTGCCTGCAAAAACGTAACAAAATTAATAAATATTGTAATATTTTAAAATACAAAATTGTCAAATGCTAAAAATTACGACAATTAAGCATAATATAAAATTCTTGTTTAATATTATCTTTTGCGAGTGTAAAAATACAACTTTTTTAGTAGAGCAAAATTTAAAAGATTGGAGAAAGATGTATACCCATCGCTCCCGTAATCTTCGATACAGCGCCCGCCATTCCGCCGACAGTATGGCCCAACATGCTGCGCACTCCGAGGAATAGACCCTCGGCAAACTCTCCTGGACCCTGTATGGCTCCTTGGAAGGGTTCATAGAACAGATCTTCGATACCCTTCATAGTTCCGATCACAAGTCCATATGGATTACCGATCACATCGAGTCCCAGCACGAGTACATAGGCCTGCTTAATTGCTTGGCCCGCGTAATGAGTGCTCGCCTCAGAGACGAGCTGTTTATGCGTCATGAACACGTAATTTCTCTCAAAGTATGCCAATCTGTATCAATAGAAGAATACTTAGAATCTTATAATCTCAGAATTTGTACAATACGCAGACTACAAAGAAAATTACTTCAGAAATTCTAGTATGCTTTTAAATATCTTTAATTGTAATTTTTAATATTTTTAATTGTACTAATTGTAAATTGTACTAATTAAGGGCCTTACTTGAACACAATATCGTTAATATCTGTCAACGTTACTCCAATTCCTTGCAAAAGCACATTCAATACTTGCGGCAATGCGGAGGGCCCTCCTCCGCTTCCGGTCATTGAAAAACTGATGTGTATCTATGAACAAAAAAAGAAAAAGGAGATAAAGATTTACCTGTCAAATAATAATTAGCATTTACATTTTTGTATCCATATATTGAAACGTGACACACCTTGAGAGGCGAAAAGTGTAGTAGATCGAAAAAGTTCTTCTGCTCGGCCGTGGTGATCAAACTGACATGGTACATTAATGGTTCATCGACTAGTTTCATGTCTTTACGGAATAAAGCACTCTGAAACAAACAAACAAGATTATCTATATGTTACAGAACGATCTAAATAAGACGCAATATCTCGCATCTCACCTCTTCCGCGTCGTTGACTTCGTTCGCTTCGAGCAAGCCCATTATCGCGTTTATGAAGACAATGTCCACCTTGATATGAAATTCTTGTATGAGAACTTTGAAGTATCGGAATTGTTGCACAGTGCTGTGCTCCAATAGGCGCTTGACCATACTTAGCTCCGCAAAAGGTTTCATGACTACAGAAATACACAAAAAATAGGAAAAAAAGATACATAAATGAGAAAAATAGATACATAATTCTTAAAAAAATTTAGGAATTATGTTTTCATAAATAAACAATGATTAACTTTCGATTATAGTATTTTACAAACCAGATTTCTAAAGAATCTTGTTTGAAGTACAGAATGCAACTAAACCGGATCGGTAGAAGATTCCAAATTTTTTTATCTACAATTTAGAATCTCATAGTACCAATCGTACTGATTTACTAACTAAAATTTTCTCTTAGGTACAAACAATCTATATCTATACTTGAAGATTAAAATTGCATATTACAGGGGATGCAATAAAAGTGTTTTTCACATCAAAAGGATAATACCTGTACTCTGCGTGACACTCTTTGGCGGTGGCACTGGAGCTAATATAACTGGAAAAACACACTCCGACAACTGATTGTCGATCTGAAGTTTGTTGATCTTTGCATGCAGCTGTACCTGATGCGCTGAAGTGCGATATTGCAGCCAAAGTCCAGTTTGAAAGGTGCGTCTCATGTATCTACGATGCGGCCTCAGCATTTCCATATTTAAATAATCCACCTAGATATAATGAAAAATGATTTAAAAAATTAAGTAACGATAAACGCTTCTTGTGGTCCAGAAATTAATCCAGAAATTAAATTAGATCCAAGCCTTAAAAACTTCAAAGCGAAAACTTTTTGTTTTACCATTAGTTTTGGGTCCAACATTATCCGATAATCCGCGTCCATTTTGCCGATTTGCAATTCCCTAATGTATCGTTGATATCCCTCTTCGATAGCATTAACTTCCTTAACACTTAATGCTCGCCATCGACTGCCAATCGACTTACGCGTCTCCCATATGATCCCTGAGCTGGATTATAATACAGAATTTCATTAATTTTACATGGTAACACAATTATACGAAGAGAGTATATAATTATCATTTCGTTAAATAATATTAAATTTATATTTGTGAATTATTGTGTAAAAATTATAATTATGAATAAAATTATAAAAGTAAAATTATATTATTGGGAGTACAAAGTTTGGTCCGTTTTTTTGTGCATTTATTTCAAAACAAAATGAATGAACAGATCAATTAAAGTATTATCCATCGCTGCCTACTTTTGCCCATCTCTCAGGTATTTTCGAATTCCATCTCGAAAAAATGACTCTTTGGAGGCCAATTTTGGAGCCAATTTTCGATTTCTGCGAAAGAAGTGAACCGGTGACTTGCTGCATCCTTCGGAACAACCAGTAATTAGAAGGAGCAATGTCTGGAGAATACGGCGGGCGCGATAAAACATCCCATTTAAGCATTTCCAAATAATTTTTTACGACTTTAGCGACATGAGACCGAGCGTTGTCATGAAGAAGAATAACTTTATCATTTATTAATTATATGTCTTTGCTCGTATTTCAGCCGTTTTTCTCGCAATGCACGGCTCAAACGAATCAATTGTAGCCGATACCGATCGCCCGTAATGGAATTACCAGGTTTCAGCACCTCATAGTAAACGAGACTCGGTTTCAATTCATAAGACACCCAATTTCCTTGTTTTTGGATCATTCCCATGGCTCTCAATCGTACAGAAATGGCTTGTTGAGTTACCTCCAATGATTCTGCAAGCTCCTCTTGCGTTTGACTCTGATCTTCTTCGATAATGCCTCTAATTATTTGTCTTCGAATTTTTTTGGCTGTCCAGAGCGAGGCTTGTCTTTAATGCTGAAAATCTCCATCCTTGAAACGTCGAAACCATTCCCTACATGATTTATCAGTTGGAGCAGTGTCACTATAAACTTTCACAAGCATTCGATGGGCTTCAGTTCGCACTTTTTTTCCAATTAAAGCAGAAAATCAAATCCTCCCGCAAATGCTGCTTGGTTAACGCATAATTCGACATTACAAACACAGTAAAAATCAAGATTTTTGTATGAAACTCAAAGCGATATAAACTGAATATTATTAGCAGATGTTTAACCTCTCTGAAACCGTCAAATCAGCTGTCACTATGAACCATTCACAAAAACTGGAGCTATCTTTAGGGAAACGGATCGAACTAATTTGTACTCCCAATAAAAACATAATTTTAATTTTAAAAAATTACTTTTAAAAAAGTACATGTAAATAAAATTTAATATTAAAAGACTGCAGTCTTACCTGGCGATGCACATATACAACAATTCGGACTTGGTGATGTTATTCACAAGAGAAAATCCAATGCCGTGAATGTTCAATGTGATTTCCTGATCAATTATTTCCAGATCACCAGCAAGCTGACAATCTTCAGCAATCTTTAAATTTGTAGTAAATAGCAGCACTCTCTGAGTACCGTCTAGGAATGAAACATAAAATAGTTTCTCGTCTATTTCCGGTAGTTGGAAAGTACCGAGATTATCCTGGAAAAGAAATGAGAATGATGTTCATTCGCTTTTATGAATATTTCTGCTTGCTTTTCATCTTCTGTTTACCTTGCGAAGATTATCCTCGATTTCCTTGCCATTGTTATCTTCCCACACCAGTTTTCGTGGTCCTGCCGGATTTTCCCAGGTATAAAACATTCTATTGTATGACTGCACGGATCTGTCAACGTACAAATCGGTTCATATCGAATAAATATACAGAGTGATTCTCCGCAAACCTTTTTGCTTAACTTGAGATTAATATTAATAATAATAATAATTATTATTATTGTTAATAATAATAATAATTTTAATTCATTAGGATACAAAAATCCTCAGGTGATTATTTAAGAAAAAAAAAAAACAGCTGACTCATCAAGAATTAATGATCTCGCCGGTGTATTCCCAACTTACCTAACGTTGAGAGAACCTTTTTCCCATAGATTGATAGTATGTGGCGTATGATTGATGATCATAGCTGGCGCGTTGCCTGGGACGTAGGCCGACATGGAGATGTAAACGCCACCCTCGTTGATTTGGACATCTATATTGATTCCTCCGTACTATGAAAAATATTTTGTTAGAAGTACAAAACATGAATATTTCATTATTTATTCTAGTTAATTGTGCTCACAGCACATAAATAAATTATGTGTACAGTTAATTATTACCCTTTGTTACTATGTTTCATTACCTTATTGTCCAATTTCAGCAGAGTTGTGTGACTGTCGGTATAAATAAATGCCGCGGTTTTCTCGGGTTGACTTGCGACTTTAGCCTTTAGAGTCTTGTTATCATGTTCGATTCGAGGCCACAGTGCCGCGCATTCACCAGGAGATACCTTGGCATACAGCAGTGATATTGTAGTGCAATATTTCACTAAAAGATTTCTATAGTAATAGAATTTCTTATATCTACTTTGATCATCGGATCAGCTGGTCGGTCACCTTCCTGGCATTCTATAAGAAAATCTGCGTTGTTAATAAGTATGTAGTATGGAGTAAACGTGATCTGTTTGGTCAACGAGTTGTATGTCAGCTGATTGTGTACTCCGATCTGTAACAGAAAAACTAGAGAGCTTTATTTATATTTATTTCTTGTTTTATTCTCTATTTTTTATCTTAAATATATTATATTATTATTAATTTGTTAACAGATGCGTTAAATGCGTTTAATGTAAACAAAAAAAAAAGAATAAAAATTAACGATATAAGAACCTGATATATCATTCCATTGTATTTACAGGTCACCACACCCTCGCTACCCGCGACATCGATGGAAAATTTGTCGGACCACTCTCCATCTTCTACTCTGATCATGGCTTTCTTCTTGCCAAAGAAAGCTTTGGAGCGGAACGAGAATAGAATAGGTCCCTTGAAATGCTCTGGATGATACAAGATATTCAAGAAATCATCTGCTGTCTGGAAACAGCAATCGATATAAATTAATCTCGACGTTCAATTTATCAAAAATACCTTCGAAACATCATGCAATTAAGAACAAATAACTAACACCTCCATAATATTAGCTTGTTATACAAACTTTGTCGATTTTGCGTTGCAATCAGAATGTTTTATATCTAAAAATGAGGAAACGATCGAGGAAAGATTGACATATTTAAAAATACAGTTATTAAAAGAAATAGAAATAAAAATTAATTAAAAATAGAGAGGATTAAGAAAACAGAAAATAAGTAGCGTGTGCAATAAAGCACAGTTATACATAATGATGTTAGCTAATTACTATTAATTTATATGACTTATATTTGAAAAAATGCAATTGTAAAAATCGACACATTGATCGACTAATACAATGATAATCTAACACAGTTTGAGGCCGTTCAGTTCCGATTAGACGATTGTTATTTGACAATGATTAAGTCTTGCGGACACAAGCGAGAACAGCGATAATATTGAAATAAAGCGATGTGTCACCGCGCGAGTTTTCCTCTTCCTGTACTGTGCGCGTTGTCGATGAGGTTTCATAGCAGAAACGAATTTCTGAAAGACGTTTACACATACATTTTCACGAATAAAGTGATGAATATCGACGTCTATTCAATAAAAAAAATTTGATTTGATTTAAGCGATGTATAATTGTTCTAGAAGTCATTGTATAATTATTATATAATTGTGTAAATGTGTATAATTATTAACAATTCGCACAAAAAGAACAATTTTGTTAAAATATTAAAAAATTTTTAATAAATTAGATAGATACAAATTGGAAAATAATTCTGTTGGATCATCAAAATAATTGTACAGAAAACTTAAGCGTGAGTAATGCTGCAAAAAATTTCAATATTCTAGCAATCTATTTAAGCGTCCTACATTATTTTGATAGTTTAACAAAATCATTTTTAGATCTGCATCTAGCTAAATATTTAAATACTTTAGCAAAATTATTCTTTCCATACAATAATAGCGTAGAATTAAAAAATTCTGAGAGCTAATTTTGCTAATAATATACAAGATGGCTATTTATGAGAAGCACAATAATGCAGCACGATAACAGGAAATCTCTACCTTTATCGGACTCGAGTGCTCTTTGCCAATCTTACTTGATTTCTGTAAAATAATGGAGCATGTTGAATACAAGACTAATGGCAAGATGCAATGGTTAGTCTTGCGATACACTAACAGGAACATAAGAAAGGTGAAGATCGAGCGAGGAAGCAAACATTAATACAAGAGTATTATTTGACATAAGAAAAATGCATATCAATAAAGAATTCTACAATGTATGGCTGATGCAAAAGAAGTTCTCTGTAAAATGCGGTTGAGACTTGAAAATCTTAGGAAATTTTCGAGATTCTTTGACAAGTAGAGATAATAATCAATTACAAACTGTATGCAGAGGTAAAGTTATCAAAAGCGACGAAACTATGCAAACACATACTCTATAGGATAACATTAAACCAGTCTTGTTCAGCATCCAGAAGGGACAATACAGCGCCATGACAATCGAACCATGTTTGTAAGACGTATGCATTCCAAGATCCAGAACCACTTTCTGCGCGCTGTCGAAAGACTCAAACGACCAAACCGCGAACTCTGGTGGATCCGCCATGATTTCGCCTCTGCATGACCAATCCTTCTCCAGATAATTGGGTAGCTATAACACATTATTCGATAATGTGATTTTAAATAAATAAATCGCAAATGTTATGTTTTATAAAAAGTAATAATTAATAATTATAATTATTAATAATAATTATTAAATTTTTATTAATTGATATATGTTTTACCTTAATTATTATGCTTGACTTGGTTAGATCAATTGTAGGAAGTTGCATAGAGGCACTTGCTTCGAGCAAGTTTTCTTGAACTGTGCCAGGCAAACAGATGATGATGTCGATCGGTAGAAAGTTTTTCAGATATATAGACGGGTATAGATGTACATTGTAGACAGTACTAGCCATAGTATGACGAGTAGTATTCTCAAAATATACCTGCTCGATCTCTCCCACAGCCTGCATAAACGAATATTCTATATTCCTCTATTATTTACTACTAAGAATATTTGTCAACTTTATTAAACGAATGAAACTATGTCTAAAGCAAGAAATATATATATATATTTTATAAAAACGACCTGTATATAAAATGGTTCTGTAGAATCTTGCTTAGATCGCGACTCGCATTTCAATAATTTCGTCATGGAAATAGTTTTCTGCAGATCCTTCCAGACAAATGGTTCGACTGACACCATATATCTAAAGTACATTACATATGATCATTAAAA